AATAGCCGAGTTTAGATATTTTGGTTCAGTGACCATGCACAAAAGAATTGCAGACGAGGCTCCGGGGAAATAAAGAATAAATCAAGATTATCCATTGATAATTTTATTTTTTTTAATATTGCAAAGAGTTATTTTGAAGTGCACGCTTCAAAATGACCAATCAAAGAGCGTATAATATCGTTTTATTCTTTATTTCCCCGGAGCCTCGTCTGCAATTCTTTTGTGCATGGTCACTGAACCAAAATATCTAAACTCGGCTATTGGATGCCCTTAAAGTTTTAGAGTGGCTCATTACAACTTCAAGAAGTCAATCCGAAGCAAAATTTATTTTTTCCGCGGAAAATTTCGAATGTAGTTGCTTGAAAAATTAAAAAAGCTTGTATTCACGGAGCTAACATCTTTGAATATTGGAAAATGTTGCCAGTCAGTAAATTTGTTAATGTCGGTAGTCAGCAAATTTTGTTCAAATTTGTCGCTAGTCAGTAGTTATTTTGTCCATTTGTCGCTAGTCGGTTAACCCCATTCAGACCCTGAATTTGATGTAAATATGATGTAAGTGTCCAAAATTCTGTAAATTTGATGTAAATGATTTCCATTGAATTTACAGAATCTTGGACACTTACATCGTATTTACATCAAATTTACAACCTTTAAAGCGCGCGTTTTTTCCAATTGGGTTGTGATTTTTCTTTAAGGCACCTGAACAACACCGGCATTGGAATGCAAGGGGCATTTATTCTTGAGACAATCCTGAACTACGACACTACGCCCAATTCACAAAGTCTCCCTTTTGGCTCTAACATCGTCATACCAACGGAGTATGCTATAATAGAAAAAAACGAGTTCAGAGGAGACTTTCTCGCTGTCATAGGAAGGAAAGACGATGACAAAGAACTGATGACTAACCTTACTGGAAACTATCCACAAGGTTGGAGTTTCAACACAAGAAAACTTTGCGTTTATTTATTTTCATATGGGCGAATAATTTGTTTACGTTTTAAACTAACTATCAGTAAATCAGCACTGAATTTTGAAACAACATGGCACAATAAGGCCCGTTTCAGACGTCCATCTTTTGTCGCGTCTAATCTAATTGCTGGAGTTGAGTTTATGAACATTTCGTACTCTGAATTCATTGACATTGGCAGATTTTGTTCAGTTGGGCAAACTTATTATAATCTGCAAATATCAATAGATGTAGACTGGAAACCTCTCGTGAACTATATACGAGCAATTAGATTAGACGCGGCAAAAGATCGATGTCTGAAACGGGCCTAAGCTTTCCTCGCGATTTTGAGCTTCCCATATACAATACTTTTTGCGTCAAACGGTTTTAAAAACTTTGCCACTCAGCATCTTTGAACGCTAATATCTCATAAACCATTGCATGTAAAGACCTCAAACTTTCGTAGTTTATAGTTCTTAATAAGCCATTTTACGTTATGAACTTATTTGATATTTTTTAAAAGTTTAAACTTTATGCTAATTTGCAGAATTTTGCAAACAAAGATCCGCCTATATATTTAAAAAAAAACAATGGTCTTCTTCACGGTCCCCTGCGCCATTTTGAAAAGTAGCCGTGCCTTTGCATCGAAGCGAGACGACCGTCGAGCGTGCAATGAAAAAAACCTTCTTTCGACACCTACAGACAATCATTCACAGGTATCTATCATTGCACGCTCAAAAGTCGTCTCGCTTTTACGTAAAGTCACGGCTACCTTTCAAGATGGCGCAGGGAACCGAGAAGGAGACCATTGAGACGAGGACATGGCTGTAGCTAATATGAATCAATAGAAAGTGCTATAAGGAATGCTTTGCTTTCAGGACGCTTCAAAGCGATGAATGTCCCATTGCCGTTTAGCGGGAAGACAACAGATCTTCCCCCAATGCAACAAGGAGCCTTCTTACACTTCCTAAGGAGCGACCACGCCAACTTTTGGAACGGTGCAATGTCATGGCCAGCGGTATTCATAACAGACACAGCTGATTTCCGGGGTTTTATGAAAACGTGTTACCATCAGCCGTGTGACAACATGACTAGCGTGACACCTGATATGATATCATTTCTGGGTAAGACCGTTGAAGCGCTCGTGAGCGCCGCTGGGAAAATGACTGGCCGTGATTGCCCTGGTAACGTTGCTTGTAAGTATACCATAATTGAACATAATCTAAAATCAACTAGACCCTGTATGCAGGGTTGACACGTACCCTTTGTTGTGCATCATGTTGTGAGATCATTAGTAAATGAGGCCTTATTAAAACCTTACTGATACAGAATAAAGAAATGATTTGATCCATCGAGCCTTGCCAAGATATATGTGATTTTTGCGATAAGCTTATATGTGGTGGCTCTTAAAATTTCAGCTGTAACTGCCTTTGCGATTCTGCAGTATAATTTTAAGGTCAGATATACCCGGAGATATATAACTAGGCATGATTTGGTTACAATGTGACGCTTTATTAACTTTTGATATGATAGTAACACAATATTTTTGCACATCTACATTAAAACTCGACATATCTATTGCAGATGTTTGAATAGCCATGGAATTAATAAGCATTTTCTAAAGAGTTGTATTGATATTCAATCATTGGAACCCAATCACTATATCGTCAAGTATCGTTGATCGTTGCCGTTGCTTCACGAGTAGTAAGCGTGTTGATCTCTGTAGTGAGATCTCCTCGTCATCACAATTCAACATACCCTTGGTCCGAACACCCAGACAAGTAATGAGTTCCAGATTTTGGTCGTAAACCTTCATGTTCTGTTCCATATTCGTTAGTAGAGACAATATTCATAAAAATGGCGGATAAAACATTGTGCAGAACGAGTTGGAAATGTTGCGAACGGGGCTATAGCGTTCGGAATACACAACGTAATGTGATTGGCTACCGGATATATAATTCACAATGTGATTGGCTACGAAGATGTACCGAAGCCAAACTTTCGACATTGTGAAAAAAAAAAACAAAACAAGAAAGTGTCAGCATTTTACTACACGTACCCCCTGCATAGCAGGGTACGTGTAATGAATTGTTAGTATTCGTGCGGGATCCCTGTGCTTTTTAGCTGGGTTTCCCTTTACGTTACCAATGCCATATATGGAAGCCAACAAAATGGCCTATTGTTGAAAACTCATTTCGCTATAATCAACCTATAATCTTCGATGTACCGTCCCCCAGTGACCACCATTTTGAAAATATCAAAAGAGAAGGCACTGGAGACGAGATTGTGCTATAATATTTGTACKTTACAGATGATTTAAAGACAAAAACCCATGTCCACACGAACATTTCATATAAGGGAATATTGCCATGGTTACTAACTAAAAGCAACCTTTTTGAAGACTATAGTCCCCTTCACGGTTCTCTGCGCCATCTTGAAAGGTAGCCGTTCCTTTGCATCGTAGCGAGACGACCGTTGAGCGTGCAACAATAGAAACCTTCTTTCACACCTACAGACAATTATTCCCAGGTATCTATCATTGCACGCTCAAAAGTCGTCTCGCTTTTACATAAGTCACGGCTACCTTTCAAGATGGCCGAGGGAACCGTGAAGGAGACCATTGAAACGAGGACATGGCTGTAGTTAAAGTGAATCAATAGAAAGTGCTATAAGGAATGCTTTGCTTTCAGGACGCTTCAAAGCGATGAATGTCCCATTGCCGTTTAGCGGGAAGACAACAGATCTTCCCCCCATGCAACAAGCAGGCTTCTCACACTTCCTAAGGAGCGACCACGCCAACTTTTGGAACGGTGCAATGTCATGGCCAGCGGTATTCGTAACAGACACAGCTGATTTCCGGGGTTTTATGAAAACGTGTTACCATCAATCGTGTGACAACATGAATAGCGTGACACCTGATATGATATCATTTCTGGGTAAGACCGTTGAAGCGCTCGTGAGCGCCGCTGGGAAAATGACTGGCCGTGATTGCCCTGGTAACGTTGCTTGTAAGTATACCATAATTGAACATAATCTAAAATCAATGAATTGTTAGTATTCGTGCGGGATCCCTGTGCTTTTTAGCTGGGTTTCCCTTTACGTTACCAATGCCATATATGGAAGCCAACAAAATGGCCTATTGTTGAAAACTCATTTCGCTATAATCAACCTATAATCTTCGATGTACCGTCCCCCAGTGACCACCATTTTGAAAATATCAAAAGAGAAGGCACTGGAGACGAGATTGTGCTATAATATTTGTACTTTACAGATGATTTAAAGACAAAAACCCATGTCCACACGAACATTTCATATAAGGGAATATTGCCATGGTTACTAACTAAAAGCAACCTTTTTGAAGACTATAGTCCCCTTCACGGTTCTCTGCGCCATCTTGAAAGGTAGCCGTTCCTTTACATCGTAGCGAGACAACCGTTGAGCGTTCAATGATAGATACATGTGAATAATTGTCTGTAGGTGTGAAAGAAGGTTTCTATCATTGCACGCTCAACGGTYGYCTCRCTTCKATKBAAAGGCACGGCTACCTTTCAAGATGGCGCAGGGAACCGTGAAGGAGACTATTGTAATTTTGTAGATAAAAAATCTTTCATGTATTTTACTTCACTCCTTTCACTTCGAAAACAACTAGCAATTACTCTTTCCAGTAATTTATTATACAATCTAAAAAAAATGCACACGAAATACTTACTTGAGGCGAAGTTATTCCACCGATAAGAAAATGGAGTATACATTTCAAATTTTGATTCCAGATTGCGCGAATGAAAAAACAATAACGAGTAACCAAGAGACCATTTCATCCCCACTCTACCCCTCTCAGTACCTCAATGGTGTCAGTTGTGGCTGGATCAAGCAATCAGAGTACCCTCAGAAACTGGTGTTTGAACATTTTGATTTGGAAAACAGTGTCAATTGCTCCCAGGGTGATTACGTGGAGATAACCGCTGGTGAGAAAAGTTTGGGTAAGTCTGCTGATCAAATGATTATCGTTTTAGAAAAAAACTGAAAAATGCKAAAACAGTGATAATGCATATTAAACCTCTAATGAGCATGTACATCGTGCCACAATTTAAAAGAATTTTAATCCCACGCGGAAGAAAGGATAGTGTATGAATTATTAATGAGTTCTTGAAGTCTTGGCTATTGTCTTAGTGTACGTGTGTGGATAATATAGATCCAAAAATAACTCTTTTTGATCGCTAAATGTGGATCATTGAACAACAATCAACTGGTAAATTTCCACAAAGAACTGAAAAAATAAAGATCGAATGAAACTGAGAAAAGAAAGAATGAAAAAAATAAAGATAGTATGCATAGTTGGTGGTATTGATCATTTTCAACCATTCCCATGAGATTCAAAAGATATAAGACTGGCGGCCATGTTGGAGGGATAAACAATAGATACTAATGAGAATCCTTTGAAGTTAAACCAAGATGGCCGCTGTGATGTAACTTGAAAACGAAAAGTAATTGAAATTCTGAGATTTTTGCTCTGGCNTAAAACATTGTGCAGAACGAGTTGGAAATGTTGCGAACGGGGCTATAGCGTTCGGAATACACAACGTAATGTGATTGGCTACCGGATATATAATTCACAATGTGATTGGCTACGAAGATGTACCGAAGCCAAACTTTCGACATTGTGAAAAAAAAAAACAAAACAAGAAAGTGTCAGCATTTTACTACACGTACCCCCTGCATAGCAGGGTACGTGTAATGAATTGTTAGTATTCGTGCGGGATCCCTGTGCTTTTTAGCTGGGTTTCCCTTTACGTTACCAATGCCATATATGGAAGCCAACAAAATGGCCGATTGTTAAAAACTCATTTCGCTATAATCAACCTATAATAATCTTCGATGTACCGTCCGCCAGTGACCACCATTTTGAAAATATCAAAAGAGAAGGCACTGGAGACGAGATTGTGCTATAATATTTGTACGTTACAGATGATTCAAAGACAAAAACCCATGTCCACACGAACATTTCATATAAGGGAAGATTGCCATGGTTACTAACTAAAAGCAACATTTTTGAAGACAATAGTCCCCTTCACGGTTCTCTGCGCCATCTTGAAATGTAGCCGTTCCTTTACATCGTAGCGAGATAACCGTTATAAAGCGTTCAATAATAGATACCTGTGAATAATTGTCTGTAGGTGTGAAAGAAGGCTTCTATCATTGCACGCTCAACGGTCGTTTCAATCTCGAGCCCAGAGTCTTCATGGCTAATGTCAGCGGTATGCATCCGCTGGATGGCAAAAGTGTGGGCTCTGGGTACGAGATTGCGGTCGTTTCGCTTCGATGTAAAGGCACGGCTACCTTTCAAGATGGCACAGATAACCGTGAAGGAGACTTTTGATTGAAATTTTTACTTCACCCCTTTCAATTCGAAAACAACTAGCAATTACTCTTTCCACTAATTTATTATACAATCTAAAAAAATRCACACGAAATACTTACTTGAGGCGAAGTTATTCCACCGATAAGAAAATGGAGTACAGTTATACATTTCAATTTTTGATTCCAGATTGTGCGAATGAAAAAACAATAACGAGTAACCAAGAGACCATTTCATCCCCACTCTACCCCTCTCAGTACCCCAATGGTGTCAGTTGTGGCTGGATCAGGCAATCAGAGTACCCTCAGAAACTGGTGTTTGAACATTTTGATTTGGAAAACAGTGTCAATTGCTCCCAGGGTGATTATGTGGAGGTAACCGCTGGTGANAATAAATAATCATTTTAACGGTGATAAATCAGTTTTATAACATTCACCTTTTGTACTACACAGGTTTTCAGCCGATGGTCATGGCCCTTGCAGCAATAGCGTCCGTCGTTTTTAAGATGATGTAAAATTGGAATAATCGGACACATTAAAACAGAATCACTTCTTGTAACCTTGGACGCTTTCAATTTTTTTAGAACCGAACAACCAGACGCAAAGGAAATTTCCTTATTACCTGTTTGAATTGTTGAACTATTAATGTTAAAATACCCCATTTTCTATTTTTTTTTCATGTTCATATCTTTTGCGGTTGGCCAGTTCCCTCCAAAATAGCCGGTGTAACGCTAGTGAAGATGAAGAATATGGACTTGTTGATATTTAAAATTTGATTCATGCTAATGATTCACAATTTGTTTCAGAGAAAATCCAATCTCATACCCCGAGCCTTCGTTCTCTTGGCCAGCGCCGAAAACGTAAGACTCAGTCTAATGTTTGTCGACGGCGCTGGCCAAGAAAAACGAAGGCTCAGGGTACGAGATTGGAGAAAATCACATAACATTGCCCATCATGATGCAACCGGTCTATTCATACATGTTTTCGTTCTGAATTTTTGCAAACAGAAAGTTACAGTGTTTAGGTGATTAGATTCTCAGTATATCATTAGCTAATGACAATATGAATTATTACTGAGTTTGATAAGGTAAATTATGACTTTTTAAACAGAAAATGATCTTTGTAAAGAAATTATACATTAAGAACTATATGGTCGAGGCTTCAGTGTTAATTGTAAGACCAACAACAGAATTATATAAGAACTCCGAAAAAGATAAAATAAATTGAAAAATTATCGACTCTGATCGTTTTGTTTTTCTCTTTTTCTGAGCGTTTTTTTTTTTATCTGGATACATTATATATACCTTAGATATATTAATTCTTCTCGCATTTTATCATTTGCTCATTTATTAAGGAATTAAAAAGTTTTTTAAAGCAATTGTATGATGACGGAATAAAAATATAATAATATAACACAATGAATGCAGATATAGCTGTACATATCACATCTGACCAAGTTCATAACAAACCAACCGTTTCGYTCAATAACAGTCTAAGAAAAGTGAACAAAGAAATATCAATTCATCTGGYGTTTCTCAGAAATCGGAATGCATTAGTTCGGCTAGCTTATTGTGAAGACAACGCCTTGATTTCTCCTAAACGTACTTTATATAAATTTGACTTTATCAAGGTGTATCACATCTTGACAGACGCGGGCTGAGACGGAAGCTAATACTGAGCGGAAGAATTCAAATTGATCTTTTCCAACCAAGAAAGCTCTTCACAATGTGTTGGCTCCTTTTGTTTATGTCTTTATTCCTCAAAGGTAACAAAATACTCAGATTATAAGTCAATATAGTTTGAAGCAAAGTTAGTGGCGGAATTCCCTGCATGTTCGACTGAAATCCCTTTATTTCTAATCTTTGTGGATTCATTACCATCAAATCATTTTGCACAACCTTTATAAAACGTTGATCTTTTCCTAAAATGAAACATAGTTCTGGTTTCAAATGTGCATTTATTAGTTTCTCAAACAAAATCGAAAATGAAAGTATAGATAACCTCTCTGAAAGTCTCTTGAAAAAACTCGGGCATTCATCTTTAGTAAACAGATCCTTTACGGTGTCATCCTAACCGTTTGTCAACCTTGGTTTTGGGATACTTTTCGACTGTTTCGGTACTGTGTAGCAGTAGTTTCGACTACAAATTTACATGTCAAGAGACTCTTTAGGTAATTGCATACTTTCATTTTCGCCATTTTGTTTGAGAAACTTATAAATGCACATTTGAAACCAGAAMTTGGTCTGGTTGTTTCATCGATCTGTTTCAATAGTAAAGATTTTAGTTATCAATGGTTTACACCCAAATATTTCCAGAAATTTTTCGATGAGACAGACTTCGACTTTACTTTCATTTTTGTTTCTTTTCTAAAAGAGCATGGAACAGTATCTCCAGCAATTGAAAAAATTCAGAAAATCAGACCTAGTAGATAGAAAGAAAGCTAAAGAATTGCTTTCCTATATTTGTGAGGAGAAATGAAGATGACAGAGATCATAGTTTAGTTTGATTTTACTCAAGAATCTGTATGCTTTCTAAACGACCAAGAAATGTTTTGGCGAGTCCCATGATGCGAATATTATACCACACACTGTGACAAAATTCCCGCATGAATTTATCAAGTTTTAATTATGATTTTTGTTCAAGTTTCAGCAGGTTTGCCACCGCCAAAAAATATCGGAATGCACAGTTATCTTGTTGTAAAAGTTTCTAAGTCTCACTCAAAAATTATTTATAGGGAGAATCTTAGTTCTTTGCCAATTTGTGGTACAGCCTTCCAAGATTTGCCGGCAATGAACCGATAAATTCATTTGTTGTCAGGAGGTTTCCACGTTGAGTAATAATTATCGTCGCAGGGTGGGGAGGTACTCCCTCCCCAACTTGGGTGGGGGTGTGCCGCACGACCCTCAAAACCCTTACCCTATCTCAGACCAATTTTTGTGATTTTACATACCCCCAGATACTAAAGGTACAAAGTTACATTATTTTAGCGCTGAATGCGTGGCCTAGCAGATACGATCACAGGCAAAACTCCACCCTACCCCAGACAATGGGACTATACCCTATCCTAGACAAAAAAACTACCCTATTCCAGACAAAAAGAAGACCCTATCCCAGACAAAAAGACTACCACCTCCCTCCCTCCCCCCCCCCCCCCCCCCCCCCCCCCCGAGTTTCCAACCGTCGAATCTTACAAATTGTTCCTTTAAAACATGAATCGATTGATAGCCAGTAAGTTCGCTAATCTCGTCAAACAGGAATGAGTTCTGTCCAGTCATTGGACATGGATGGTAGCGTTCGATCTCGTCTCGGACATTTCAATACAACGCGTAATAACCTCGTCAGTCCAGAAGACAARGCAAAGGCACGTGATTACATCGTGAAAACGTTTCAGGAATTTGGACTGGACACGTGGACAGAGGAGTTTCCATCCAATCAGAACTCGGTAAGGAAAACAAACTACTTTGCTGGTCAGTTTGTATAGCCTCGCTTGAAATACATGTACGCACGCTAAGTATATTTATGGGATGTCAGCGCCAATATTTTTTTAAGAAATCGCTAGTTCTAGGCAAAAAAATATTGGTGATGATATCCTGTAATTTCTAATATATTTTAGTATAAACATACTAATGGTCCATCACTCATACTGCGCTGTGATTGGCTACTCTACTAATGGTCTAATTTGTGATAGACCACTCGCGGGAAAATCAAAATAAATAAATTATTAATTATTAATTATGTTAAGGATATTTCAATTTGTTTTCATTATTTAACCGATTAGTATGTTTATACTAAAACAATTAGACCTCTTGGCCTCGTGGACTACGAGCTAATAGCCCATTCGGCCTCGCGGACTCGGGCTCATGGGCTATTAGCTCGTAGTCCAATCGACCTCGAGGTCTAATTGTTAATTATATATACTTTAGATATACAGTATGAGTCAAAATGATGCTGTATAAAATATTGTTTTCTTAGTACCCAGGGATAAACGTGATTGGCCGCGTTAATAGCAGATACACTGGGACCAACAAGGATAAGATTCTTATCATCGGATCTCACTATGATACTGTCCAGACAACCAACGGCGTTGATGACAATGGTTCTGGGGTAACAGCGTTACTGCAAACATTAGCCAAGTATAAAAGCACGAGTACGTCATTTTCATGCCAGAATAAAAATGTTATTTACCGGATATAGGTTGGTCCGTATAGGAAAACACTACCCTCGGTCTTTTATGTACGTACTCTTGTCAAGACCTCGGGCAGTGTTTTCCTATATTGACCTCTCAGGCGGTAAATAACATATATGTATTGAGACTTTTTGACTTCACTGTCAACTTTAATAATTAAATACTGGGCTACAGTGGACTGAAATGTGCAATTTAGCACTATTTGATTACAGGGAAGTCAAAAGCCCGTAAATACATTATACATCAATCCAGAATATTAC